AGAAAAGACTGTAGCTTTTTCCAGTGGGAAAATGAAAAGGTAAGAATAGACTGCTTAAGGCTGCGGTGAACATTATTTTATCTCTTGGATGTATATTTGGATATATATTTGAACTGAAGATTTCTGATCTGGCAAGCAGGGTGGTGATTACTGGCTCCAGCAGAAGCTGTCTTTGCTGCAAGGACACCAAAATAATGTTGTGCTGTAACCTGAATGGACACAACAAAAAGAAGGTCCGTGCTCCAAAGAACTTTTACTCCATGTTTAAGACAGGACATGACAGATGGGTACAAGCATTTAGGAGAGAAAAGAAACGAAGTGATATTATTGGTCATCTTGACGGTCAGTGATTTCAGAACCTCAGCCTCCTTCCTCCCCTCATTTGCTCTCTTTGCTCAGACAGTTGTGACCCAGTCTTAACTCAAGATCTGTATGTGCTTGTGGAAATGTCAAGAAGAACTTGCTACCCTTTCCTAATGCTGAGAGCTTTGTTTGGGAAGGGCAGGAAATACACCAAATAAATAGATGTGTCTTCTCTTTCACATGTCAATATGCTCTGCCTTTTACTGATACAGAATGATTTGGGAATTTAATTTTTTTTCCAAGTCTTTCACTGCTAAGTTACAGTTCAAGCCCAGCTGGTAGGTAGTGATAGGAAAGCTGTGTGGTGATAGGAACTGCTGGGAGGAAACTGAGAAGAAAGCTGTGCGGTGACTGGTCTCTGGTTTATATGGACTGGGGTGATGCTTCTAGTGAGACATGCCTGAAGGAGTTGCATCTGCATCACAAACCCTATTGCAAGTTCATTGTGCTACTGAACGTCAGTGCCTGCCTTTAGGGTTTTTTCCAGTGGAGTCATTCTCTGGCTTCTTTGTAGATGCCTTGTTCTTACATTTACAAGACTTAACGTTTTTGTTTTTGGGGGTTTTTTGGGGGGGGGGATAAAATGAAGACTTAAAACACTTGGGGAGGGACTTTGACCTTCACAACAGCTGAAGGCATTGAAGCCAATAGCAAATTTCCTGTTGTTTTCAGTGTTGTAGGATCAGGCTGTAACTTTTTAGCCTGATGATCCTATTTTGGCTATGGAAATTCTTTGACGGTGAGCACACCCTTCTCTCACACCATTGGAAAAGAGCATTGTTGTTTGTTTCCCCTTCCTGGCTCTATTCACTGTTGAAGAATTAAAAGATAGGTATTTATCCTTCTGCACTGTTTTTAAATTCTTTCAAATACTTTCCTCTGGAGTAGGCTGGATGCCACTGTGATCTCCCCAGAGAATATGGGATTTCTGGATGATGGGGTGTTTTTATGCCAGGAGTATTCCATGAGGTTGTTTCAGAAAGTCATGATGATTTTGAAGTAAAACCATTTTGTGTGTAATGAGTGGAAAACTACCATATTTACTTGAATCCGAGAGGCGTTCTTGCCCCGATCTGTATAGGGGGAAAAGCCCCTCGTATTAGATTTACCTACAAAGTGCGGGGGGTAGGGGCAGGCAGCTCTGACTTTGGACCTGGGCCTAGGTTGGGGCAGAGTCAGACTCACAGCAGCCTTTTCCCCTCCCCTCCATTTGCCCTCTGTAGTTTCTGCCCCCGCCCCTTCCCTCCCCCCTTACTGTCAGGTGCAGCTCAGCTCCAGCTCAGGCTGGACTCCATACTGCTCAGTCTGGACAGTCAGCAGTGCTGTCGCTGCTGCATGGCCCAGCAAGGGCAGAACTTTCATATGTTGTGCTGTGGGAGGGAACAGAGCCCAGGCAGTATCCGACAATATGGGAGGTAGAGGTGGGAAATGAAGACTCGG